AGAACGTATCAATTAGTATTTATTAAGTAGTATTTTTGGTTACTTTACTTTCACCGCATAATGAGTTACTTTTACCGGATTGTAATTAGTAGTTAGTTTAACTATTTGATTTCAGTTAGTTACTTTCTTGCACTTGCTTTACATTTCTCTGTCTTGTTAAGATGTGTATGTAAAGTCCGTTGCATTCACTTATCTGTAATAAGAATCAGAGTACAAATAAGATGATGCCTCTCTCTATATCTTTTTTTATTACTAATAGAGAAAATTGGGGCTTTAAGTTAAAACGGCTTGGAAAAGGTTGTCGGTGTGAGTCGTAAAACCAATAACGACTTTGAGTTAGGTATTAGCACATTAGTTTCTGTTTCTCAACTCGTGAAATATTAAATTGATAATAATTAATTTTTATAAAGAATTTTAATGTTTTATTTATAATTGAAAAATATTTGACAAAAAAAGTCAACTTGTGAAAAATATGTTGATATCGGAGAACTCCATAGCCATTTATATAATATTTTATATTAAATACTTTAATAAATTTTTAAATTATATTAAAAAAATCAATTTAGCTTATAACTTTTTATTATATTCAAATAAGTTTTTGAATTTTTATTTTAAATTAAATAAGCTCCTCTTACTAATTGTTGACTAGCTTTTATTAGTTAATAGTATAGTTCGTAAATTTTGATGCTATGTTATTTAGCATATAACATGTTGATGATGTCAAAGTTGCATAACAGAAGACATGACATAAAAAATTTGACTCAAAATTGGGTTTTTTTCTTTCCAAATGTTTAAAAATTATTCATTTGGGATTTGAAACAAAAAATTAAAAAAAAAAACTAATTGTTTCAAACTAATTACTATCTTTTTAATTAAAACCATTCTTCCTAACAAAAAAAAACTAATATAACTTTTTTTGTTTGATTGAAGCTATTATTGCTTGACTGAAAGTTGATGTAGAGAAATCTGAGAATATCTAACAACGATTTTGAGAAGAGGAAAGAGTAAAGGTAGAATATACAACATTTATAATACTGAAACTAGCAAAGACATATAATGTTGCTTTATAATAAAAGAAAGTCAAATTCTTCTCTTCTCTTTCTTAGAATTTGTAAGAGAAATCGAATGTTTTTCTTTTCCTTAGAATTTGTAAAAGAAAGTCAAATCCTTTTATGCTTTTTCCTAGAAATTGTAAAAAAAATCCGATGTTCTTCTCTTTCTTAAAATCAATAAGGAAAACCTGATGGTGTTGAATTTATTTACTAATAATAATAGATTTTTTCTCTACATCTTTCACAATTTTCAAAAATTAGAGACTACTTAAAATAAATTTTAGAAGAAGAATATAAATTTGCAAATAAGGAGAAGACATTTTGACTATAATGTACGTTAGGTTTAAGGAATATTGAAGAAAATGAAGGTTTTTTTTCAACTAAGAATATTAAGTAAATAGTAATCAATTAAAAAACAATAATAATTAGTTTAAAGCAATAATTTTTTTTTTAATTTTTGTTTCAAATCCTTAATTAATAATTTTTGAACATTTGAAAGGATAAAAAAAAAAACTCAATTCCGAGTCAATAATTTTTTATGTCATGTCATCTATCACGTGGCATTAACATCATCAAGATGATGTCATTAGCATGCCACATAAAAGATGATATGGCATTGATTAACTTTCGTTAGTCAACTGTTAGTATGGAGGACTTAGTTAACTCAAAATAAAAAGTTTAAAAGGTTATTTGAACGTAATAAAAAGATATGAGTTAAATTGACTTTCTTGATATAGTTAGAATCTTATTTGTGTTTTTGGCTTAAAATATTATATAACTCAAACACAAACATCATCGGATTCAAATATTGGGTACCTAAGAGGTGATACCCAAACTTGATACAAGTAATAAAATTACCACCTGAATTCATCCCAAACCCGAATATAAGGTACCTTAATATTATATAATCGGATTAAGTACTCACGGGCACCCTATTACACGATATCCATTGGGGTTAGTGTAACGTTTTACTACTCAAACTTATTCCAAACTCGAATATAGAGTATCCTAATCCTAAATAATTGAGTTGGATACTTACAAGTATACTGTAACATGTTACCCATGGACGTCAGGGGTACTCGGATATTTTCCAAAATGTTTGTTCTATTAGATAAAGAAGAAAGTAATTAATTTTTTTTTTGTTTTAAGTCCTTAAGCCAACATATTAGGGAAGAAAGTAATTTTTTTTTATTTTTTTGTTTTAAATCCTCAAACCAATCATTTTTGAAAATGTGGATGGACAACAAGGTAAACATATTGAGAAGGACTAACTTTAAACCTTTAACCAACAACATTTAATGTTACGTCATCTGCCATGACATCAGTAAAATGATACATCAACCTGACATATGATAAATACACCAATTGTACTTGTTGACTAATTTCAGTTAGTCAATATTTATTGAAAAGGACTTCTTTGATTTAATATAAAAGTTTAAAGGTTTTATTGAATGCAATAAAATGATAGAAACTTAATTATTTTTTGACATAACTCAAGACTTATTTGAGTATTTAACTTTTTTTTTTGAAAAATAATCTAATGCAAACTAAAACATAAAAAGTTCATTGGAAGAATATAATCCAAAGTTTATATTATAAATTAGAAGAACTTTGAAAGGAATATAAATGTAACACTTTTTAATGTCAAAAGGAATAAGATGCATTAATTAATTAAAGGACATGTGACACTAATCCGGACCCATCTAAATGCCAAAAAGGTATGTTATTCATATAGGATTACTTTTTTAAAATCAATAGTTGTCTTTTACACATCTCTAATATAAGAATAGGTAACACTATGCCAATTTATTACAACATTATTACAACAAATTTAAGATTTAACTAATTTCATTATTTCTTTTTCTAGTAACATATTTTCTTAAGTAATGAAAACTTAAAAAATTTTACCATTTAGACTTTCGATCGTAATTTTTTCAATTTAGGGTTCTTTTGTTTTGACATAAAATATTTTTCAAAAATGTTTTCAGAACTTATACTTATTTGGAGGATAGAAAATTTATTTCATATATAAAATATTTTATTAGTCAATAGGGAAAATACCCATTGACCACGTAACATATCTTAAGCCCTTGAGAGGTAAAAGACATTTTTTGGAGAACTAGAAAATACTCTTATACAAAACCTAATAATATAGATTTGATGAATATTAATATTTAATTTAAAATATTAAAAAATCAAAAATATTAATATTTAACTAAATTTTTTAACTTAAAATATTAATATTTAAATGATTCAATGCTATTAATATATTTAAAAAAAATTTTAATGAAATCATTCAATACAATTAAAATTTTTATTTATAAATTGAATAAATCTTATTAATAATTATGCTCCCGACCTTTTAGCTCATGGGTTAGTGTATGATCTCCTGTCTAAAGAGTAGAGTTTGAAT